AATCAAAACCTGGCAGCAAGGTCAGCTGTACTAGATGTGATAATCTTTGTATTGTAATTATGTTGTAACAAAATGATGGAATAACATTCAAAACTTCAGAATAGCAAACAGCTTTCTTCACACAACTTTTTTTTTGTGTACCAAACATACATACACTAAAAATAAATACTTGAAAGCAATTTGCAGCAAATAGCCTCCATAGCTTTGTTCTTGTGTTGGAACTTGACACTCAAAAACAAGCAAGATAAAGATGTGTCAATTAAAGATGTGTCAATTAAAGATATGTGACTTTCCTAGTAAAACAGCATAAACAAGTCTATAGGTCCACCAAAGAACCTGCATAACATCAAGATAATTTTAAGTTTCAAAATCAAGGATTAATTCAAATTAGGGATGATTTTCTAAATAAAATGGTAATGAAAAAAATTTTTTTAGCAGCCACTATCAAGAGTAGGATAAGTACGAACAGGTAAGAAAGAAGGCAGTAACACACAGTACTTATTGATCTGTAATAACATTTTTTATTTTGTAATCTTAATAGTACTGGCTTCCCTACACCTTTAATATCTTACTCCTTCTACCAGCTATGATACTTTTGGCCAGATTTATATGCTTTTAAAATAACTATTCATAAAGAGGTATTACATCAAATGTTGCTCCAGGAGGGTGCAATGTACTTTTAAACAATATATATTCAAAAGCATAAGAAATCTGCTCTTAAAAAATTAAAAAAAAATTGTCCCAAGGAACCTTCAAAATAAAGCAAAAACTGTAGCAAAGAAGATTGACATTTTTTGTCTTATTTTCTTTTTAACCTTGCAAGGAAATCTGTGACAAAGCCACAGTAGTAGCAAATGAGTAGTTCACCACTCAAAAGTCATTTAAGGACTAGCATGCAATTAAGTAATTACTGGGCTGAACAGAACAGCAGTCAACATGGCAACAAATTACTGTAATGGTATTTTTTTTTTTTTAAGAAAAAGGAAAATTAGACAAAAAATATGTTTGCATCTCAGATTTTTGGCTAGAGCTGGAATGGAAATCAGGCAAAGGCAGGAACATACTCATCAGGATGTACAATAGAAATATGTATCAATAACCTTGAAAAGGAGGAGGCAGAGGTAGGCGTAAGAACAACCCAGGGCATGAATTCACACAACAGTTGTGTGCCGTGGGCAGATATACTTGAGATCAGCCTTATAACTAGCTGAGCTGCTGATGCAGCTACAGAGAATCCTCACACTTACATACAATCATAATAATGCATTCTATTTTTTGTGCCTTATCTTTCATTAGCACAAAATGCATTTCCAAGGCTCTGGGTTTTACCTTTTGAATTTAAACTTTTCATTATGAAGCGGAACGCGGAATAAATAAATAGACTCTACAACTTAATATAGTTATGAAGTGGGTATGTATGCCAGCGGCCGGCACAAGTGAGATAGCTCTCCAAAATCTTGTGCTCCGAGCTGGAGTTTGTCCCACAATTTTATTCACAACGGTGTTCCATATGCAATACATTACTCAACTTTTCTATGCATATTCAACCCCTGGCCCCGCCTGTCTTCGCCTCTCATGCTAAATAGGTCCACGCCCTTCTGGGCATGCATGGTTTTTTGTAGTGGTCTTTACAGGGTCACCGGTGGTCTTTTGAGGCTGAAACCATAGCCTTCTTCTGCATTGAACTTTTGAACTCTTCTCCTCTGCGCATGCGCTTTTGGCTTTCTGCTCTGTTATCTGGATAAGTCCATCCTTGACAGAGGGGCCTCCTTATCTGAGTTCTTTGCATTCCTGGTCTTCTCTGGTATTTGTCTTTTTGCAAGAAGCTTTAAAGAATCTTTTTTTTTTTCTATGTCTTTTGCGCCATGGCAGAGGTTTCTTAAAATTTAACACATGATTCTACAAACATGATACATTAATTTTGATACATTCATTTTTGATACATTCATTTTGTTAGCTCAAGTGATCTCTGGAAAATCTCTTATTTCCCTTGGTTTTTCCAGGCCCATGCTCTGTGTTCTGAGGGGTATAGTACTGACTTTTCATGACTCAACCCTAGAGCAACAATGGGGTGAATAGTGTGAACCGTGGCATTACGAATAGTGAGCACAAAGGCAGTAGCAGTGCTAGTGGTGGGATCATATGTAAAATTTATCATGGTCTACCAAGACTGGAGGTCTCTCTCAAAGTCGGTAGCACTGTCCCAGACAACTTTTCGTATTTCAGCTGGAAACACCCCTTCACTCCCTTCCCTTATGATTAAAGCAGCTGTTGACTGTATCCATAATTGCGCTTGTATACAGCTAAGGGCTAAAGATATGTTCTCTTGTGCTCTTTCTAATGCATCTACCAGTAAGCTATGGTCCTGATCTTCAAAGTCTCTTTATTTTGGCAGCACTTTTGAGACTTACCACTGACTGTTTCCTAGTGCTAATAGAGATGACTGTAAAGGCTGTTTGAAATTTTGTTACATCGCTAGTCGCTATAGCTAATTTATTCATTAATATTTCGGAGTCAATCCCGTTCAAAACTCCCAACCCGGTTTCTAATATCCTAGTTAAATCCCTTTGCATTCTATATCAGAGGTGTACTTGTTTTTGTAGCCACTTTGTCCATCCTTCGAAGGATGACCTTAGGAAAGGGGAGCAGGCTGGCTGAATTGTCGAGATATTAGCTTGCATTAATAGTTCAACATGTTTAAGGGACCATTCTGGGTTAAATAAAATTTTTTTTGGCCCGTATTCCTTATAACATATGGCCCGATTTTATAAACTCTGGGTCTAAGATTGAATGGTATATTTTGGGTTTGCGCTTGAGTGCTGGAGTGGGTTGTAGTAGGTTTGGCTATAGCACTTATTGTAAATTTGAAAGACAGTCTAATAGTGTTATGGGCTCAGAGGTAAACCACATCAACAGTTTGTCTTAATTTGAATTTGTATCAACAGTCTAATTTACTTGGATGATTGCAGATCTTCTGGCGCTTATTCACACTGATTTGGGTTACTTTATTGTGGGTAGTCCCATTAATTATCTGACACCCTATTTCAATTACCTCTCCTATGGTCTCTTGAAGTGACCACAACTTCTGTTTTTGCCACTCTTGTTGTATATATATTTGGTTACTGTGCATGACCAGAGTTGTTAGATTTAAACCTTTTAAACTGGAAGACTTCCCCATGGATTGAGTAAAGGCTTGGAACCAAAGCCATTTAGCGTTGTTTTGACTAGGTTTACCTTGGAATTGTTGGAATACAGCTATGATTGTAAACAACATTTCAGCAAGAGTCCCCACCCACCATGATATATTCATTTTGTCCAAGTAAATTTTGGTTTCAGTTCACTATCACCCGGTATTATCTTCTAAGTGTCTTCCGGAGCTTTCTTAACCCGGGTGTGGTGAATCCACGTGTTTTGTTCTTTAATCTTGATTGCAGTGAAGGTAGTAAGGAGTACTTGGTATGGTCTCTCCTACTGTGGTTCTAGGGCTTTCTCTGTAAGAGACTTATTATATACATAGTCTCCAGGTTGTATGTCATGTACCGGTGCGTCCAGCTCTGCACCCTGAGTTCTAGCCACATATTTCTCAATTACTCTAAGTTGTTTATTTAGAGCGATAATATAGGAGGTTAGTGATACGTCCTTGTGGGAACTCAAAATGTCTCTCAGACATTTTTAGAGGTTCCAGGCCTTGGTCAGAAGCATTCTAGACCCTGGCAGACAGCTGAAAAACAGCTGTGATTTTGAGTTTGAGCCATGGAATTAATTACCAACTTTGGAGGTGGAACAAGCAGTCACAAAAGGTTAGATAGTATAGTAAAAGTAGTTACAAAGTAGAGGGGAAATTTTTTTAGTATTGTACAGGGGGGTTATAACACATATACGGGGGGTTTTCACTTTGTACATGGGGGTCAGAAGTTCTAAGATGGAGGAAAGTGGGCTGATCCTGTTCTTCCTCTTTCTTTTTCCTTACCTCCATGTTCTTGGTGATGTTGGCACTCGCAGATTGGTTTAGAGTAGAAAAACACTTGGCAACGTAGGTAGTAGGTATTGGGGAATAATTGTAAACATGTTATACGTAATATATCATATAAAAGATAGCAGCAGCCCTGGG